CCTCCCTCATTACCATCTCCCCTAGCTAATTGAAAACTCAAAATTTTTCTTTTTATCTAATCAGAGAAGGTGCCCTTAAATTGATTCGCTTAGCACTAGCATTGAAACACAAGGTATTGATAAGGGGGGTTGCCTGATCTTATAGAAGTAGTGCCCCTAATTATATAGTTAAAGGAAAAATAAATAAGTTTTTTACATCAATTACACCTGAATGGCATAATTAAAAGTTACGTGCTCACGGATTAATTCACTAATGTTTCTGATGGGTAAAAGATGGGAAGAGATAAAATAATACCAACCATTAGAAGTTTGAGTAATAAAGGTGGAAGGATAGTAAACGATCTTCGTCTCCCTCTTCTTCCAACTTGTGCTACTTTTGGGACCATAAGAAACTTTTTAAATCTCTTTAAGGTTTATAGATATTTCAATGAAAATAGTGTACTCATTAAACTAAAAGCCTTTATGCTTATAAAAAAGGTTAATGACACATAAATCAATGGTCACCCACTTGCCTCCCACATAGCATTTATTATCAACAATCTCTTTTGCATTAGCTATAAACTCACTCAAAATAATGATAATGGAAGAAACAATTTACTTATAAAAGTGTTCCTAACCCCATTTCACTAAAGATTGCTTGAAAGGAAAACTGGGGTTTTAGAAATCTTGTTTAGGAATAAGTTGCTTATTAACTAACAAGTCAGCAAACTTTCTTCCATCCATAGTAGAAATGAACTTACTTATATCATAAGAGTATGAAGATTGCATCTTACAAAGCATTTTTAAGGTTTTTATATAAACAGAGAATGATGAAATGAAAAAATTAAAATTAAGAGAGTAATTGAGAATTTACTAAACCAAATGAAACCATGGAGTTTTATTTATAAACACAATTAGTGTTGCAGTGTTGTGGAGCTAAATAACATAAAATTATAAACGGGTCACGGTAACAGATGCTACTATAGAGGTAGATATATGGCATGATGGTGCTTGACTTTGGAAACTAAAATGTACATAGAAAGTTTTTATAGCATTTAACATGTACAAGCACTGTGGCATTTAAAAGAAGACTACCACTGGGCTGCTATAATAAAAATTATTATAATTTTGACATAATGCCACAGTGCTACCAATAGTGTGGTGGCACTCACAAAAACACCATAATGAAAAATTTAAGATCACATTGTTACTTGAATAAATTATCAAAGTTAGTTATCTAACTTAAGGACACAACACAATTGTGTTAGAATGTAAAACATCAAGGGGCTCGGTAAGTATCAATAATGCTATGTTTTTTTAGTAGATAGTGTTATAGAAAATAAAATTCGTATTTTTCTTAAGAGCTTAGTACTATAGTGTTAGTTTAAATTGTCACAGTGCATAATATATAAATAATGTGGAACTTAAAGCCCTAACACTATGGCACTTGACTTTACAATTGATTTCATAATTGAATCACTACCCTACCCAAAGATGACTTAATATTTTTGAACTAATTATTTTGATTTAATCCTATAGGATAGGAAGGTATAGGTTTTACTGCAGGAACTTGAGGATTATTCTAGTTTAAGGTTTATTTAAGTTGTCTGAAATTCTACTGATAATTTTTTTCATTATTATTTTCTAACTAAGGTTTGGCAGTTCCTCCAATTTATGTTGTTGGTCTTAATATAAGGTTTATTTTACCATCCAATTAAATTTATATTTTAGGTTCCCAAAGTACTAGTATCCTCAATATAATTTAAATGAGTGTCTTCCAATTGTATAGATCATCCAAACCCACATTAATTCTAATAGTATCCAATTTCTTTAAAATAGTAGTAACATGTGTAGTAAGAATTGATAGAGCATCTGATTTATAGACACTAGCTACTCTCTTAAGATTTACCATATTAGTAGAAAACTAAAATTTTTAGTTTTCATTCCCTCTATTAATTCATAAGCATCCTCAAAAGACTTTGACATTAAAGATCTTTCAATTGCAACATATATAATTTACCTAAACGATCCTACTAATCCATTATAAAAGGTTTGAATAACCAATCAATCATGTGAATCATTGTAAATGTATTTCTTCAAATCTCTCCCAACTTTCATAAATTGATTATCCTTTAAACAAGGCAAAAGAAGTGATATCATTTATAAGTTTAGTAGTTTTTTAGGGTGTTAAAAAATACTTTTCTCGGAATTTATGTGCCAGCACATTATAAGTAGTTATAGGGCTCGGGGACAAATAATTTAACACATTTTAGCCTTATCACTTATAAAAAATGGGAGCAATCTAAGTCTAATGCATTATCATTGACACTATTATACTTGAAAGTTATATAAACACTTGCAACTATTTAAATATAGTTGGAGTCTTCAATAGGAGTTAACCAAAATTAGAAATATTGAATCATTTGGATAATGGAAATTTTAATTCTAAATTATTAGCATGGATAGTAGGTCTATTGATACATTAACTAGTTCCTTATACAATTCGATTAGCATACTCCTTAAGTAGTCTAGCATGGTCCTGGTCTTACACTAGGTTAAACATTTTAAAATATTTTTGTCTTTTCATATTTTTACAAGGTTCTTTTCTTTCTTTGAATCAAATATTAAGATCTTCTTACTAGATCAAACAAGCATACAATAAATGTACACAAACTAAAAACTAGAATTGAAATAATCAAACATTTTTTTTTTTTTTGAAATTTTTAGAAAGTTGATAAAAGACATAGGATATATGTATATCTAAATATGCACCTATTTCAATAATATAGTTTAAAATTCAATACGCATATCACTATCCTCTTAATGTTGCCAAAAATGTGATGTAATGTGGTAAGAGGTTAATGTTGATGTAATGTAAAATTCGCTAAATTTGAAACATGCTTAGATTTTCTTGGATATAAAATTTCTATCAACATATTGATTTACATAAATATACATGTTAAATCAAGTAATAAAGTAATCAAGTAGATTGTCAAACCGATGAGGAAGTTTTCTGCTAAATTATATTAAATTACTACTGCTTACTCTAATTGCTTAAATTTATCCATCTCAAATAAAACATGATATTTTTATTTTCTTACCATAAAATTAAAATAAGTAAAAAGAGTTGATACTAATAAAATAAAGTGTTTTTGATTGATGCGTATAAATTATATAGCTTTCCTAATGATATTCTTAATTATGGATATATATTATAGCATGTGCATCCCTATATCTCTATGAAGCTTGTAGGGGTAAAAAGAAAGATTGCTAGTCTTTCTATAGTTTTACTATCACCATAGAACCTAGAATATTTAAGCATGCTATATTTATGCAAGCTAATATTCCATTCTAATATTCTTAATTTTTCCATCATTCCTTGATCAAGCTAATACATCACACTAGGTTTTAACTGCAAGCATGAATATTGTATGCATTAAATGAAGAAAGAGATATTAAAAATATAAATATTTTCTTTAAATCACAAGAGTCTTCATTAGTACTTAATATGTTGTTTACATCATCAGCACAAAATAAAAGAACTAGTGAGACATGGAAGAAATGACACGCAAATTCATATTCATTTTATTTATAGAAGAATAAAGTACAACATAAGTAGTAAAATGTTTATCATCGGGAAGGACCAAATATATTCTTTAAACTCTTTCTTCAATCACTTATAGAGGTTCTTATAGTACATGCTAAACTATCCTAGATAATGAAACTTACACTTACCTAGCGTCCCTCAGGCTTTTCTCTAAATAGGCAAAGATTAAAAACACTAAAAAAAATTAGCTTAAGGGACTGAACTACAAAAATAATAAAATTTTAACTATTTATAGTAATTATAAGATAAGGCTCAAGCATCGTAAAAGCTAACATCATATGGATTAAGAATGAACCAGCACTTCAGAGTTGCAATGTTGGCAACCCTTATTTTTGCTAAATCGATGCATGTATTAGAAGTTATAATTGCTCCACTATGATTCCATAAAAAATGATCATTATTGTGCCTAAAATTGTACTCTAGCTTTACAATGTTTGATAGGCTAGCGCTCCTGTGAGAATTTTTCTACGAGACCCAACACTAAATTGGTAATTTTTAGTAAAATAATGTTGTAATGCACTATGGATCTTATATTTATGCTGTCATAACACCTGTAAATAGAGAAGTACATTGCTTCCAAGTTTAAATTTGTGCTTAGCTTTGATCGATTGTGCATTGTTGCAGTATCTATGTCAGCACTACGACATTATACAACATTTGTATTTTTTTTCCTACATAATACCCTTAGAAACATAAATAAAACTTACTTTTTTCTTAAAATTTAAATAAAAAAAATAAAATATAATTTACTCTTATCACTTAACATAGATTAAATTCACACCCCACCAAGTCTTTGGCACTATTGCCGGGTAGTAATGTGCGCATTATAATTTAAACTTTATTGTTGAACTAGTTGTATATTTAGTCCTCCTTATATCTTGCTTCTTTATTTTTTTTTTCATTTTACTTTTTTTAAAAAAAAATTTGTTTCATTAATTTTATTCTTTTATTTTTATTATATTGTGTTACATGTATAAAAGATCTAGTAAGGATCCCTTATTATTTAACATAGAGATAGAGAGGACCACTACAAAAATAAGAAAAATTAAAAAAACTTTAGATTTAAAAATTGTTCAGTTAGCTCAAGATCAAGACCCTCCTTGTATCAATTGACCCACTATCCAAGAAATAAAGTTTTAGGTGATAGCTTCCATAATTTAAATCAATAATTTTTTTCAATTTTGGGAAACTCCTATTGAGGATCATAGTCTTCACTTAGCTAGCTTCTATGAAATTTTTGCTACATTCAAGTAAGGTGGTATCAGTGATGATGCTATTAGGCTTTGTCTATTCCATTAACCCTAAGGGACCAAATTAAGACATATATGAAATACTTTCACTTATGCTCCATAACCACTTGGAATGACTCACACACAAAATCTTATTGAAGTGTTTCCCACCTTCTAAAGTGAGATGACCTAGAAATGATATTGCCTTTTTTTTTCATGTTAGAAGGGAAATCTACTTATAAAGGTTAGGAGAGATTTAAGGGGATGCTTAGGAAATACCCTCACTGTGACATACCATATTTATTATTTAATTTGACTTTCTATAATATACATAGAAGATCCCTCAGGTCAATAAATAATGTAGCAGCTCAAGGATCACTTATGTCTAAGTCATTTAATGAAGCCTATGCATTAATTATGAATATAGAAACAAAACATTCATGTAGTTTTCTGTAGGGTTAATCTTATAAGATTAGATGGACTTTATGAATTAGTTACTTTATCCATCTTGATTTCCTAGGTAGCTGATATTTTAAGGAAATTAGATAGTTTTTTAGTTAGTTTAAGATTAAGATCACCTACACATTATATATATAATGATCCAATTATAAATCCTAAACATTTAAGTGTCATGGAATTCAACATCTTACCATTTTTATTTTACTATCCATGTTTGAATTAAAATGATCAATTAATAAAATGGAAGGAACTTTTGGAAGACGTAGTAATTCAGTTGGGAATTAAATTTTACAACAAGATATATCGGTTATAAAAATGGAAAACTTGATAGGGAAATTTTCTAATTTCATCAAGAAGTTATGATTGATGTTTTAAATCCATGAAATTCCCTAATAAAAAGAATATCGACTATTTTAGAATTGACTTGGAAGACATTGTGGTGGAGAGCTTTTTAGAAGAATTGATTGAGGAAAAATCTTGGGGAAAGTGTTAGAGAGAAATTATGAGGATTAAAGTGAATTTATTTAATATATTGGAGGTACCAATGAGATATTTAGGGAAATGTTTAATAGTCTAGATACCTTATCTTATGAATGGACTTTAAGACCATCTATAGATAAAGTACATATTTAGAGTTTAAGGTTTTACCCAGCCATCTTAGTGTGCTTTTTTAGGTATTGATTTAACATTGCCAGTTATAATTTTGGCATGTTTTGAAGAATAATAGGAAGAAAATAAATAGTTTATACTAAAAGAATTAGCCCCGCACTTGATTTGCATAGAATTTAAATAGAGGAAAATTTTGTACCAAAAGTATATCGACAAAGAAGACTAAACCAATCTAAGAATAAAGTTAATAAAAGGAGATACATAAATGGTTAGATATTTGAATTGAATATCCCATTTAAGATAGTTCTTGGGTGAATCATATTCATTGTGTTTATAAGAAGGGTGGCTTTACAAGTGTCCAATGAGTGTAATGAATTAATCCCTACTATGATAGTCACTAGATTTAGAATTGTTATGAACTTTAGACACCTGAGAAAACAACTAGAAAAGAGAATTTCCTCTTTCCTTTCCTTGATCAAATGTTGGATAGGCTATAGGGTATTTTTTCTTTTACATCCTAGATGGATACTTAGGGTACCACAAAATTATTATATCATATAAGGGCCAAGTTAAAGCTACCTTAAGTAGTCCTTAAGTGACATTTGTTAATAAAAGAATGGATTTTCATCATTATAATTCCCATGCTACTTTTCATAGGTGTATGATGTCGATCTTTTTAGATTTGACTGAGCAAGGCATTAATATTTTTATGTTTTTTTAGCACTAGTTTTGATTCCAATCTCAATCATTTGACTATAGTACTTAGAAGATGTGTAAGAACCAATTTAATAGTAAATTTATAAAATGACATGTCATAAAGGAAAATGGGATTGTTTTATGTTAGAAAATTTCAATGAAAGGATTAGAGGTGGACAAAGTCAAGGTTTATGTGATAAAAAAATTGCAACCCCCAAATTTCAGTTAAGGGTATTAAAAAAATCTTTAGACATCACGGATTTCTTAGAACATTTATGATGGATATTTCCAAACCGTTGTCATTTATTGGAAAATGACATTCCTTTGGTATTTGACACTACATATTTAAACTCTTCTAAAACTCTAACATGTGATCATTATACCTATGATTATTACTTATGATTAATCTTTAGCTTTTTTAATCATGTATGAAGCTGGTGATTTTTCTATATGAGTTATTCTTCCCAAAAACAAAGATAAGAAATTCATGTTATATTTTATGCTAGTAGAATGTTAAATGCTGCACAATGTAACTTTTCAAGCATTTAAAAGAGATAATATTCATTGTGTTTTCTTCAGATAAGTTTTTGTCATAAGTGATTGGCACAAAAGTAATTGTATGCACTGATTATTCTACAATCAAATATCTTATCATATAGAAGGATACAAAGTAAAGATTGGTTAGGTGGATTCTTTATTTGTAAGAATTTGATGTAGATAATTTTGATAAAAAAGTGAATTAAAATATAATTGCTGGTTTTTATTCAAAACTTTTAAATGAAGAAAATGTTTTTAATTAGCATCATATTAATAAGTTATTTTCATAATGACCAACTATTTGTTTTACACGTGTAGATTACAATGGTATGCTAATATTGTCAATTTTATTATTAGTAGTATAATTAATTTATTTATCTTCTAATCAAAAAAGAAAATTTTTTACATGATACTAAAAACAACTTTTGCGATAAATCTTAATTATTCAAAACTTGAAATGATGAAATCATTAGAAAATGTGTCTGAAAGGAAAAGGTAGAACCTAGCATTAGGAAATGTTAAAACTATCATTATGAAGGTCATTTTGGATGATTTAGAACGCCTTCAAAGGTATTCAAAAATGGATTTTATATGCCTACATTATTTAATGATATTCATGAACTTGTTAAGAGATGTGATCAATACCAATGAGTAGGCAATATCTCTAATTAGAATGAAAATCCTTTCAAGTTATATCTTACAAGTTGAGTAATTTCATGTTTAGAGATTAAATTTTATGGGTATATTTGTGCGATCCCATGGATGTCAGTATATTCTAATAACTATTGATTATGTGTCAATATTGAATGAAGGATCGGTAATTCTGAGAACTGATGCTCAGGTTGTGCTCATATTTTAAGAGAAAAATATTTTTTAAAAAATTATATATACCTTATGTTTAAAAGAATAATGGGGGAATCCCATTCTGTAATATGAAGATAGGAAAAAAAAACTTATTAAATATGGTATTCATTATAGGATCACAGTGGCTTATCATCCAAAACTAATGGCCAAGAAAAAATTAGCAACAAGGAGATGAAAATAATGTTGGAAAAATTTGTATGTCATAATAAGAAAGATTAGGTTATTATGTTAGATGGTGCATTTTTTTTCTATCAATCTACTTTATAACATGTATTGGAATGTCCTTATAAATTAGTTACTAGAAAAGCTTGCCACCTTACTTTAAAATTTCAATATAAAGCATTTTGAGGGGTGAAAGAATTTAATTCAAATCTTAATGGAGCATAAGAAAAAAGACGGATACATTTGAGTGAATTAATTTAAGTTAGAAATGAGATTTATGAAAATGTTATAGTACTGAGAAAGATTAGATTTAGTGGCTAACTGGTGTTAGTAGAATATTTTTATTTAAATTTAGCTATACAGTCAATGATTTGAGCTACACAGAAAACTACCATGCAACATGAATATGCTTACGATTTCTTTAATATAAAAATAAAGAAATCCCACTGAATACATAAGTTTACATGTAGGAGAAGAGAGTTGATCTCATTAGAGTGTGTTTTTTTAAACAACTACTATTTAATTCAAATGCATAAATTATCCTACTAGATGTAAAAATGATATTTTTTAAAGTTTTTACCACATAATGAAAATATGTATAATGGTTTTATACATATATAGATAAAGTATTTTAGATTAGTGAATGAAAAGCAATATAGTTTTTCTAATGAGACTTTTAATTTTAGAACTGGAGTAGTGCATATTCATCCCATGCTCTCTATCATGCTTATAGAGGTGAAAAGAAAGGTTATGGCATTCCTACAACTGTACTATCTCCATAGAACCTAAAGTTAATCTTCCTATGTCTATGTATGTGAAGATTCCATTTCAATACATCTATTTCTTTCAGTATTTCTCCATCAAGGGTATACATAACACTAGATAATAACTACACGCCTGGTCATTGTATACATTGAATGAAGAATAATAGAAATTAAAAATATCTATATATTTATTTAAGCCATGAGATTCTATATTAATACTTTCTATACTTTTATATACCAAAAACATAGAGAATTAGCCCGACTGGAAGATATAAAAAAAAACTCATTTTCATTTCATTTAAGTAAGAATGAGATGCAAGAAAAGTAATAAGAAAATTGTAACCCAAAATGATCAATTGATATTTTCAGCACTCCATCTAGTAATAGAGTTGCTTGCAAAAGAAAGGCTAATATCTCCATATGAAAATATCTTCGACTTCCTTAGCCTCCCATAGACTTTACTCTAATTATGCACTATGTAAAAGCACTAATAGTTACAAACTTCTGTTCAAGTGATCAAACTCTCCTGGAAAAGAATTTAAAAAACTTGTTATAACATGTACATGAAAAGAATTTTGCACCTAGTGCTCATCAAGGTGGCACCACAGTAGTTTAAAATGAACTAGTGCTTCGGTGTTATATCGCTTTCTCTTTTTTTGTGTTGAGCTAACCCGACATAATTAAAATTTAAAATGGCACATATTTTGGCAAGGGTTGCATGGCTTCTCATTTTGGTAACTGATCTTCCATGGCACTCTACGAATTCATCAATATGATCTTTGAATATAAAATTTGGTGGGGAGCCATTGCATGCCTTGGCACTCCAGCGCTCAATTTCTAGAGATTCAAGTGTTGTAGTGTAGATGTGTGCTACTTCAGCATTATAAGTTCTACTATAAAAAATAACAAAAATAATTTAAGTTCATTAATCTTCATAAAACTCTGAAGAGACTAATGCTAGAATGTATGAATCTAGTATCCAGATGATGTGAAAGTGTATGTTACAACACTAAAAGTATTAGCATTGCAGCCCTCAATAAACACTTACGAATTTCAACATTCTCCTTGACATTCGATGCCAAAAAAATAAGTAAATAATATTTTTTCTTAAAATTTAAATGAAATAAAATATTACACATTATATACTTAACAAATTCCCTCCAACTTAAACCCTTGCTTTCCATCAAGTAATAATGTAATCA